CTCACCAAGTGTCTGGACGTGTTCACATCCCCTCCTCCCAAACTGAGCTGCCAAACCTCCCAGGACATAATTACATGTCCATGTTCTGTGGATATGAATGTAGGGTGTACATTTAATCCACTTTTTTTCATTGATTCCCAGTTTTTCATTGAATTTACATGAAATTAAAACTGTTTAATGGTAACATTCTGTGGTAGCAGTAGGTGACTGCGGTCGCRCGTGGGTCTTGAATATGAGGAAATTGGTACTGGAAAGTCCTTGAAAGTTTCTTGAATTTGATGTTGGCCAAGGAGTGGGAACCCTGGGTGGAGTGATGAGTTGGGGATGATTGCCTCAAGCAGAGTTGTTCACAGATTTGGGCGTTTTGTGTGTGTAGGATGGAGCAGGAGATGGATTGATAGTTTAGGTCCCTGTTTACAATAAAGATGGTGTTGCTCTGATCCATCATGGTGAAGAAAGACTTGAGTCCAAAGGCAAACTGGTCCATCAACATTCCAATCCTCACCTATTGTCATGAGGTATGGCCAAAAGAACGAGACCTYGGACACAAGAAATGAGCATCCTTCGTGAGGTGGCCAGGCTCACAGCCTTGGAAATGAGGTCAGGAACTCCATCATCCAAGTAGGAGCTTGGATTAAAGCTGCTGCTCCTCCACATTGAAAGCCAGTTTAGGTGGCCTCACTTTGACCAGGACAGGTTCAGAACTTACTGGTGGGACTTTTTGACCTGGGAATTCTTCCTCAAGAGGAGCTGATAGAAGAAGTATGTCATTTTTTTTTCTCTTGGACCTGTTGCCTTTGTGATCCAATGACAGATTAGAGGTAGAACATGGATGGGTGGAGGAATAGAGCAACAATAGACGCGTTTAATGCTGAGATTTGCTGGAAAATCTCAAACATTTCAATTCATTTAAGTTGGTTTATATAGCACCAAGTCACAACATGTCGTCTCAGGGCACTGTACACAAAAAAACAATCTAAAGAAGCCAGCAGATTGCATTGAACCACTTCATCACAGTCTCCCATCCTGAGCAGCACATTGGCAACAGTGGAAATGAAAAACTCCCTCTTAACAGGAAGAAACCAGGACAGGCGGCCATCTCCCTCGACCGAGTGGGTTTGGGGGGGACAGGAAAGAGTCCCAGACAGAAGAACTACTCTAGGTGCACCTTCTTCTGGACGAGAGACAAAGCAAACATGTTATTGATAGAAATAATTACAACAAACTTAGAGAGAGACTAAAGACAACAGCAGAGTGAGGAAATGTGGCCAGTTTGTACCCCAGCAGTTAAGTCTATAGCAGCAGAGGTAAGGAATAACTCAGGAAACCAAAGTCTAACTATAGGATTTATCAAAAAGGAAAGTCTTCAGTCTAATCTTAAAAGTAGACAGAGTGTCAGCYTCATGGACAGAAACTGGAAGTTGGTTCCACAAGAGAGGAGCTTGATAACTGAAAGCTCTGTCTCCCATTCTACTTTTAGAAACTCCAGGAACTACTTGTAAACCTGCAGTCAAAGAACAAAGTGCTCAATTAGGAAAATATGATCATTACATGGTAGCAGAGAACGGATGCACTGCAAAAACTGTCCATCTAACCAAGTTTTAAAATCTTACATCCAGCCAAAAAGTCTTTTTGATCTTGTTTTGAGACTGATTTACTAAACAAGAACTGATTGTGTAAGAATAATCATCTTGTTTTCAGAATGTGTAAGATTATTTGTCTTTTTGGCCTGAAAATTGAACTCAAATTAAGTCAAAAATTTCTGCCAATGGAGTAAGAAAATTTTACTTGGTAAGATTCTTGAAATAATAAAAAATTGAGTCAAATCAAGTATTTTAAGAATCTTACCAAGTAAAATTTTCTTAATCCATTGGCAGAAAATGTTGACTTAATTTGAGTCAAACTTTCAGGCTAACAAGACAAATAATCTGACACATTCTGAAAACAAGATTATTATTTTTACACAATCAGTTCTTGTTTAGTAAATCAGTCTCAAAACAAGATCAAAATACGTTTTGGCTGGATATAAGATTTTAAAACTTGGTTAGGTGGACATTTTTTGCAGTGTGGTTTGGGGTTATCCTACTGCCTCATTGCAGTGTAGTCTTAAATAAAGACAGATCAGCTGCCCAAAAGTTGATACTGACGTGAAAGTGAATATTCTGCTAAAGAATGACTCCAAAAGAGGAAATCAGAGGTTAGGAAATGGTCCTGCTGAACAGTTTCAGACATTTGTGGGGTTTTAAACAGACGTGCAACAACACAACTGAATGAGTTTGACTACATTTTAAAAGATTGTATATAAAGAGAGGGAACAAAAGTTTGTATTTTAATTAAAAGCTGTGAACAAGTTTCAAACTTCATGTYTTTAAGCTGAAAGCAGAGGTTACAGCTTTACAAACCGATGTCAATACGCGTTGTCCCTCAAGCTAAACATTGGGTRAATAATTTATAAGCAGAGTGCAGCTTCTGCATCCGGGCAGTCCGCCATACCTACTTAATAATGAGGGGCATGACCCGCTGCTGTACAGCTGATGAGAACTTTTGGCTGCAACAAGCAAAACAAAAGTTCACAGAGTGTCCGTCAGAACAGCCTCTTCAAAGGGGGTTACTCCAAAAGGCCCACCGTGGACGGACACTTCAGTGAGCCTTTTTGCTTTGCGCCACATCCTTCCTATGATAGTAGCTCTGTGGAGCGGTGGTCTGTTTCCTGACCTGCGGATGGGCCGAGCGGAGTGCTGGCACTTCAAGGACGGGTCCTTGAGTTTTTTGGTTCGTCTCTCAGAGGGGCCAACAGGGATTATTCAATTCCAACCTTTTCATCTGACACAGCAGAGAGGCCCRTCCTTCAGAGAACCCGTTGTTACCCAACGCCTGGAAAGTGAGCAGCGTCTTCTTAAACAGGTGTTCCTTGTGAATGCGGAACATTATCTGCTTTATGTCCGTAAGGAGATTCGGTAACTCTCTGGCCAAAGCTTTGCTTCGACTGTCAAGTGAGATTTAGCCGAGTGTTTATTTTCCTCTGAATCCGAGGGCGCTGAAGGGTTGGAAGCAGGGGAACATTTTAATTACAACCATTCAATCACAACATTGTGTTTTAGGGACATGGAGGTGGAGTGCCGTAAGGGAAGGAAGCACATCAGGCCCGTTATAACACGCAAAAGATCCCCCACATTTTTGATTCTTCTTTACTCAAAATTAAGTTTAGAGTAAAAAAGCATGTTAACATTGAGGAAAAGAAAAAATAGTTGCTCAATTTTGCAGTTGATTGCTGTTTGATGGATGTTCTGCTGTTAGGAAGGAATCTTGGAGCATGTAATGCATTTCCAGGAGAGGATAGTATTGATTTCCAGCACACTCCTGGTCCTGGAAAATAAAGCTGTGTGATTACACAGTCTCTAACTGGCATGCTTTCTTCTCCTCCTCCTCCTCAAAGCTTCGGCAAAAAAAAAAAAAAAACAGTTCACAAACAGCACATTCACATTTGACGCCTCGTCTCTTTCAGCTTCCAAAGTGCACAGCGCTTGAGTTTTTCTTGACCTTCTATCAGAGCATACACAGGTTTTCAATTAGCTGAAACGCCTCCCTGTAAACTAAAACAAGCAAGCTGAGAGCAGCTCACTGTTGTGATTGTTGGGAGAAGATTTTCATTCACACTCAGAAAACTCCCTAAGGTGATGGATGTGTGAGTGGGAGGGGGGGTCAGCAGGATTTGGACGATCTCTCTGTGCATCGTCAAATCTCACCTTCTGAACCAACAACTGCAGGGTTTTGATTAAAAGCAGTCTTTGAAGGACTACATTTCGCCTGCCACCTTTCATGCCGGAGTCTTAAACTGAAATCATCCTGTGCTAAAAATAGCAGTTTTGAGCTAAGATCGTAAGAAAATGGAGTTTTAGCTGTTTTGGTCAAACCTTGGAGTGAAACGAATGGTTACCTGTGTTACTTCAATCTGCCCTCAGAGTATGGGTTGTGAACRACTCTCAGATTATCAAAGCAAAAAAAGTAAAGAAGACAAAAAGACTCAGCTTGTTGATCTCGTCCCTGTTCTWCCATCACTGCTTGGGATCAGGAACACTTCCACAAACCATGATCTGTAAACACAGCTTGTCGTTCCATCTACATTGGTTAAAGCGATGCAAAAACTAAACCATTCAGAAATGTTGTGGTCGTCCAATGGACTAAAACTAAATTTAAAAAAATTGTTTGGAAAACTATTTGGAATTTAAAATACTTTGGAAACCACAAACTAAAGAGAAGAGTGAGCATGCAGTCTGTTATCAGCACACAGTTTAAAAGCCTGTTTCTCTGATGGTATGGGGGTGCATTCTTGTCTYTGGCATGGACAGCTTCAAGGGTGTCAAACATCCTTTTCATCCAGGGCCACATGAGCATTATGGTGGCCCTCAAAGGACCAGCTGTGATAAACTTTAACGTTTTGCGTTTAACTTTGACTAAACGTAAAACGTCACATTACTTGTCTCATTGCTATGGCTGAGCTATAACTGAGCTCTACCTGGTATCTCCTGCACAGAAACAGTTTTAACACATCCTCTTATAAACACTGAAATTTACTAAATGGGAAATAAATAATACAGAAATGCTATTAAAATGGTATTAGGGAGTGGTGGCGCTGAGATTAGAGAAGGTGGACCTGTGATTGGCTGGTTCAACTCCCCAACCAGCCCCACTCTGGGCCCTTGAGCAAGGCCGTTCACCCCTCAGCTGCTCCCCGAATGCCTCAGAAATGGCAGCCCACTGCTCCACACGTGTGATGGGAAAAATGCAGAGAATTTCCTCAACTGGGGATCAATAAGGTCAATAAAAAATGTAATTAAAAGAGTTTTGAGGTGTGGTGAGCAGCTACTGTCTTGAATTCTGAACTCTCCCATTTTCTGATAGGAAATTCCCACYATAGGGACCTTCCAGTTTAAATTTATGACCTGTAGGTGGAAAATTTCCACTCCTCATAACTRGGCTGCAGMAAAAGAAGCTGGCAAAAACGTAATGAAATGGAGAGTTTACACTGTGARTTTTGACCAGATGTTGTCATTTCACAGGTAAAATAATCTACATAATATTATGGGAGATGTAGTTTATTTTCCAATGCTGGCTTTAAAGCAGCATACTCTTATTGTAAGACATTAAYACATCTTTGAAGCTTTTACAGACCACAWGAAATGTTGGGGTGGGCCACATTTGGCCCACTGGCCTTAAGTTTGACATACTGTATGTCGCTAAAACACCCATGAGGAAGATCTGTACTGTCATGGTCTGTGTCTGTGTATTTTCTGTTAGTAGTCTGTGTTTACTCTCTTAGTGTTTTCTCCGTAGATCCCTGTGTTTTTACATTGTGTCTTCTTCTTCTTCTTCTTCTTCTTCTTCTTCTTCTTCTTCTTCTTCTTCTTTTGAATTTTATTGGCAGCTGGCAAACAACTCAAGGTGCATTTTTTTACATTGTGTCATCTGTCAGTCTTTGCTTTAATGGTTAATGGACTGAACTTATAGAGCGCTTTATCAAATCCCTACGGACCCCAACGCGCTTCACACAGATATTCACACTCACATTCACACACTGATGATGGCAAAATACACTGTAGCCACAGCTGCCCTGGGGCGCACTGACAGAGGCGGTACTGCCATGCACCGGTGCCACCTGTCTGACCACCATCAGTACGCGAGGTGGGTGAAGTGTCTTACCCAAGGACACAATGAGACGGCTTTAGCAAAGCCCACTCACCTGTTCCTCATGTGTCTCCTCCAGGTGTTTCTCATTTACCCTCGTTAGTTAGCGTGCTTTGTTCTCTAAGCTCCCTCCTGTTCCCCAGAGATGCTTTTTGTCAGTAAGTGTTGTTTGAGATGCCATGTCAGCTCACTTCATG